TAGAGCGGTAAGCCTACTAAGCGGAGTATTTCTTATACTTTAACTTCTTAATTAAGTACTAGCTAAGGTAGGACTCTATAGTCCTAAACGCGCTTTCTTAAAAGGATTAAGACTAGCTAATATAAGCGGATATTAAGGCCTAGGATCTATAGCTTATCCTATAAGAAGTACTATAGAACTATATAAGAGCTTCCTTAGTAAAGGAAAGCGCGGTACTAATAAATAAGCTTCCTCTTATACCTTTACTAATAAGGGAGCTTCCTTTTATACCTTTACCTTAGTTTAGTAAAGAGGGATAAACTAGCTTAAGGGCACGCATAGTAAGAGTATTTTAAGATAAGGCCCTTAAACGCTTAGAGGATAAGATAGCGGCTTTAGACTATACTTATAAGAGCGTACGCTATACTATAAAGTCTAGCGCTTAATACTTAAATCTAAAGCTAAAGCTAAAGGTATAGGTAGGTAACTATTATATCGACCTATAAGGGTATCTATACTAATAAGGGAGATTATAAATACTAAGTATATTATATACTATAAAAGCTAAGGAGAAGGATAGACTACTAAAGCTAAATAAATAAAATAAACTTTAAGGGAAGCTAGTTTAGCTTATCTATAACTTTAATATTATAGGTTACTTAAGCTAGTAAGGTATAGTAGTAGGCCTTATAAGGGACTTTTACTAGCCCTTCTTATAGTACTATATTTATTGCTTCTTTTATAACTATAATATTTATAACTATATAAAGATTTAAATAGTATAGCTTAAGGGGCTACTTAAGTAGCTTTTAATACTTAACTAGTTTTATATATATATATATAAATAGACTTTATAATAAACCTCTTACTTATAAAAGGTAGTAACTACTATATATAAGTAATTAAAGACCGACTTAGTAAATTAGTAATACTAAAGCTAATATTATTTATAGATATAAAAGCTTATATAGAGCGCTTTCTTTAGTTATAAGCCCGCTTAAATAGCTAGCTAGCCTTTATTATAAGTAATAAAAGATTAAACTAAACTAGCTGCTTTTAATAGTACTTATACTAGCTACTTTAAATTATATAGCTACTTAGTATAGCTTATTACTTATAGACTAATAAGGGACCTAAGAAGGTTAACTAAAAAGTATAAGTATACTTATAAGTAGTTATAGCCTATAACTAAGTAGACTAAGACTAGTAGCTCCTTATTACTTAGCTCGGCTAAATAATAAACTATAAACCTTTATTAAAATAGCCCCTTTCTCTATAATATATAGCTTTAAGCTACCCTCCTTAATCTTATTTACCGCTAATATAATAGTAAAGTAGTATAGTAGTATATTATTAAAGAGCTATACTTTTATATTTATATAAAAGCTATAGGAAACTATAAAATACTATTAATCCGCGATAGCTATTATAATATAAAATTAAGAGTAATACCTTAATAAGACTAAAGCGCTAGTAGATAGGTTTATAGTAAGAGATAAGGTATAGCTCGACCTTTATAACTATAAGTTAGCGCGGCTAAAAAAGAAGCTAGATTAGCTATATATAAAGTTTCTAGTATAAAAGGTCGTTAGCTTATAAGTAGTTAAGCTTAATAGTCTCTTAATAAAGGTCTATAATAAGATTAATATTACCCTTTTTTACTAAGCCTTTTTTAACTTATTACTTAAATAAGAAATAGCGAACGCTTAACCGCTTATAATTAAAGTAAAGGGGGATAGTAAATTTAAGGTTAAGGAGATATAGGCTATACGCTAAAAGAACGTAAGCTAAGGGAAACGCTAGGAGGTTATTATTAAGTAGTATAGGTACCTTAACTTAATATAAGAACCTATATATAAGTTTATAGGAGCTATAGCCTTTAATAAATTTAAGGCCCTATATAGGGTAGTAAATAAAAATAATAAACTAATAGACTATTAGTAATAGCTTAAGCTAGGACTATAAAGTAAGTAAAGTAAAGTAAGTAGTTATAGTAATATAAGTATAATAGTATAAATAAAGATAAAAATAATATTTATTTTAAAGTAAAGCCTTTAAACTACCTAAGCTTATTCTTTATTATTACCTTTATCCTCGCTATTATTATTATTATTATCCTTATTAGCTTCCTCCTCTTTCTTAGTAGTAGCGGCGGTGCTCTTTAGCGCGCTAAGTCGGCCCTTTAAGCCCGCGAGCTAGTCGGTAGCGGCGGCGGCTCTAGGGGTAGAGGGGCGGCGGCTAGCTTTAGCGGCGGCGGCGGGGGTAGTAGTAGCGATAGCGGCGGGCACGGCTAAGGGGACCGCCGATAAGGTAATAAAAGCAGTATCTATATTACTAAGGGAGTTAGTAGTAGAGGTAAGAGAGTAAAAGGGGAAGAACTTACTTAAGGATAAGCCCTTAGCGCTCTAAGGCGCGGAGGTTATAATAAGCAGCTATAGTAGCAGTAAGGCGCTTCTTAGTAGCCCCCTATACCTGCCTATATACGCTAGCCTTCTAAGCTAACGCTATAGTAAGTAAGATAAGAGGCGCCGCCTTATAAGCGCGGCTAATATAAATATACTAGTAATAGCTACCGCTATAGCGGCGCTTAACTTAGTTAATATAAGGAAGCTCTTATAATATATACTATATATATAAGGCCGCGTAAGTAGCTCCGGCTTATACTTAGCGCTTATACTTTAAGAGGTTAGCGGAAAACGTTTATTACGCTTACTTAATTATAGACTTATAAGGGTAATAGAGATAGAGGCGGGGGCTAAGAGGCCGGGCGTTATAAGTAGCGGCGGGGATAGCATTATTATTTTAAAGGGCGATATAAAGGTAGCTAGTATAGTAGAAGTAATAGCGGCGGCGGTAGGCGCGGTAGTAAGGGCATAGGTAAGAGCGCTAGTAGCGGTAAAGCTATTATTAGCTATAGCTAGTATAGCGTTAATAAATAACTTTATATACTCTAAGAAAAAAAAGGTAAGAAAGGGGGAGGTAGATATATCTATCGCGGAAGTTAGTATAATAGAATATAGCCTTTTACTTTATAAGGTAAGGAACTTATTAGTTAGAGTTATTATTACTATTATAGCTATTACTATAAGTATATATTAATAAGGCGGCTTATATAGCTAAGAATAAACTAATACTTTAAGTAAAGTAAAACTTACTTATTATTACTATTATTATAGTTAAAAAAAGGGAAGAAAGAAGGGAAGGAAGAAAAAAGGGATTTTACTTTATATACCTCTTAGTAGAGGAGGCTACCTAAGGCTAAGGGGACGGGTAACCTAAGGCTTATATAGGTCTAGGCTAGCCGCCGGCCGCTTAAGGGCGTATATAATAAGTTATGCCTTTATTTAAACGGCCGGCCGGCCGATATATATAAAGCTAGGTTCTAGCTACCTAGGCTAATAAGTGCGGGGATAATAAGGCTAGTAAGGCTAGCATGATTAACGGGAAAGGATAAGGTAAAGCTAGCGGTATAGGGAGCCTAGGGTCTAATTATATAGAAGCCGTTAATAAAGCAGCGCCGCGCCGCGCTAAAAGGAGGGTATTATATAAGAGTCTTTAACTATTATAGGCTATAGGCTTAAGCTATAGCCTAAGCTATATAGTTATATATAGAGGGCCGGATCCTATATATATATATATAGGCTAGCCGCGTATAAAAGAGCTTTATATAGCTTATTAATATTATCCTATAGATAGTACTTATATATACGCCTCTACTAACTTTATAATAAGCGGGCGTAAGTATAAGTATAGGCATTTAAGTATTATAGCTACTTACTAAGCCTATACGGTATAAGTAAGCGGGGTAAGCTAGTATTTATATATATCTTAAAAATAAGGCGTAAGTACTATTAAAGATATATATAAGTACGATTAGTTTTACTTATATTTAATACTTTAAAGTTATATATATCTATTAAGATAGAATTAAGAAAGGTAAAATAAACTCTTTACTTATTAAGATTGCCTTAATATTAATAGTAGATTCTTTATTTTTAAGAATACTAAAATAATAAGATCGCTTTCTTTTAATAAGAAATAGCGAATCTTTATTAACTTTAATATAAAATCCTATCTTATTTATATTTTAGATATCCTTAGGTAGTATTCCCTTTTCTTAGATAACTTACTAGAGATTTTAAAAATAATAAGTAACTCTTATAAGGTCCTCCGATACCTAGCGCTCTAAGTAAAGCTTTTTTTAGAGCTTATTAATATAATTATAACGATTTAAAAAGCAAGAGGTCTACTTATTACTAATAACTAAATCGGCCTAACTAGATCGCTTCTAGAATACGCGCTTCTATATTACTTAATATAAAATAAAAGGACGTAGGTAGCATAAAGCAGATTAAAGACAGACGGTAAAAATTCTAGCTATTACGGTGTACTAGCTACTGCGGTGTCTAGCACCAGCTTATAGAGCTAGTAAGGAACGAACGCGAAAATAAATAGGGCGTGGCACGGGTACCAGGCTTATGGAGTCGCCTGGCACACACACTCCCGTCTGCACTGCACGTCCGAATGCGTTGGACGACGATTTTGGGATTGACCAATGAGACTAAACCGCAGCACCGGTAGAGATATTATGGTACTTAAATAGCCCTCCGAAACGTCATGACGCAGTTGCTGCCGGATCATTAGGGACCTATCCTTTCCTTCGGGAAGGTATGGGCTCTGCGGTCCCGAGAATGATGCCCCCATCCACTAGACTGATCATAGATAGAACTTAGATACCAACGATAGAAGCATTGCTGAGTGTCCTTGCGGCGGTCGCTTACATGTGGTGATCAGCTGTTCGATGCCGTTGTAGCCGTACAACAGGCAAGGTGGGACCTCCTTTTCATCCACGTACTAACATCGCCATGGGAGGAGCCTTTCCTTCCTTCTCTATCTCATACACGTTTCCATGTGCGAATGCGCCCATCCAGGCACCCGTGCAACCTCCATGCAAAAGGCGTCCGTAGGCTTGTCTGCCGACAACCTGCATCGCTACCTTGGTCGACACCAATTGATATCTTCTAATCGGCTCCGACTTCAAGGCCGGCCTCGTTCCAGCTTACGCTGATGGGCCTATTGTTGCCGGAGAACTTCTGGCCGTCAAACCACAGCTCAAAGCGAAGGTCCGCCGGCCCGACGATTACGCGAACGTCGAACTCGCAGATGTAGAACCTGTAGCCTCGTCGGAAACATGTGCCGCGTTTCTTCCTGAGAATGAGCTGGTGCTGCTGCACGCCTTCGAGGTTGCTTTTTATCTGACAGAGCTTGGTAACGCCAGCTGTTTGTGTCGTCAGCGATGGATGTAGCAGCAGCGCTCTGCTTGGTCACGCTAGGAACCATAGGTAGAAATATGAGTAGCACGTACCTTGCTTCAAACTATGCGGAAGAAACGATATTTCGTTCTGAGAAATAACAACATCTGCGTCCCAGGACCTTGTTATGTCCTGCTCGGCGAGGTAAACCTTGAATGTCTTGACGAGCGGGCTGTTTGGGTTTATGTTGTCGCCCTAGCCTGGGTTAGCTAGCACGTGCTAGATGCACGTTTAAGACGGATCGAGCTAACCTTATGTATCAGCCATTGAATCTGGTTAATGGCCCAGCGCTTTTTAGAGTCGAACGGATCCTTTACGATTTCCTCGTCGAAGTGGTTTGAGGGCCTGTATGGCTGCTTAACGACGATGCCGTAGCTTGCACGAGCGACGCGCGTTGCAAGCACCGAGAGGTAGCCAGTCTCCGTCCTTTGTTGCTGATTAAGAAGGAGGCCGCGGACGACGACGAGCTGCGGATCCTGGCATAGGATCACGACCGCGCGAGGCGCGTTGGGGTACGGAAAGCTCATGAGGTGCTGCTGTATCCTGTCGCGGACGTAGCAGGAGCTCCCCAGCCCGCCCGACAGAACGACAAACTCCTATTGAAGCCGGGCTTAGCTAGTGACCAAATTGCCGTGGTTGGGATAGGGGCTGAGCCCTCTACACGCACCACCAGGTCCGGATGGCCGTTTTCCGATAGCCAGTCGAGCTGCGCTTTTATCTCCTTCTTGAGCCCCTCGATCTGGGTGTCGAAAAGTGACTGCATCTGTTCCCTACGTAGGCGTCAGCTATCTATGACCTTCTCCTTAGACAAGGACATGGGCTCGGCTATGTACTTGGTTACTAGAAAGCACCCGTTTTCGATCCCTAGACCATCGTGATTAAAGGCGTGAGACACGCCATCCATCGGGATCTTCCAGACGGACTGCATATATAAAATCTCGCCGAACTTATGCTTAAGGTTAAGGAAGTGGTGGCTCCTAGCCATACGGACGGCAACATCGGCTAGTAGCTGGCGCTCAATTTCGGGCCAGGCGGCCAGGCGCCGGGCAACGAGGCGGATAAAGGCGCGGTCAATAAGCGTCGAGCCGATGCCGACGCCCCTGACGGCTGCCACCTGCTCCATCTGTGGCACGGCAGCGTCGGTAGACGTAATGCGCATTAGGGCTAGGTCCGTGGTGCCCCCCCCTGCGTCGACCGTTAGGAATAGGCTGCCGGCTGTGAAGCGGACTACGCTCGTCTTAAGCGTTGTCACTGCCGCGGCCTCGGCCTTGGTAAGGTCGACCTGGGCCTCGTGCCGCAATCCCTCAGTGCCGAAGCCGGCGGCGCGGATAACGTCCTTGAACATGATGATCGTCTTCATGCGCGTCCACGTCGTCGGCACGCTGAAGAGGAAAAGGACGACCAGGTCGGCCCAGCTGCTGCCCATCTGCCGCCGAAGCCCCATATGCCGCTCGATCGTCTCTTTAACGTGTGCGTACACCTTGCGCAGGTAGTCAGTGGTGCAGCGCTTAGCGTCAGCGGCGCTGCTAGGCGCGTTAACTAAGCCTTGCTCCTGGGCCACAGCGACGGCGTCGTTGTCGAGGAAGAGCTTGAATAGGTCACGGCGCGTCCTGCCGGCATCCCAGTTGTCATCGTCGGCGCACAGGAAGCCCCATGACGATAGGCTACCGTCGGCGTTGTAGATGAGCGACGAGGGAACCTTGCGCTCGCCGCGGTCGCCGCTGCCCGGCCAGTCGTTGATGACCTGGACTGGTGTTCGCGGCGTTCTCCAAGCCACGCCTCGAGTGTCATGTTAGTCTCGGGGTTGGTGCTGTTGAGCGGCGGATTGGTGCCGTCGCCCTGGATTGGGGGAAAATACCGGTACAGGTTGTGCCCAGATCGACTGAGACAATTACATTAGGGTTTTCGGCCGTCGTTTGGCTTTAAACTCAGTTAGAACCGGGTTGCCATAGCCATAGCCATGGGCTAGAAACGGAAGAGCACATACCTCGGCATTGAATCGTAGTCTAGAGGAGTAGAGGATGGGGCTTTAGGGGACATGCGGTGCCAGGTTTGGTCGGCTTGTTCCGAATTGCCTTGGCCGGTAGTCGTGTCAAGGCCTAAGTATCGCATGGAGAGAAATGCCAGAGATTTAAGATGATTAGCGATGTGCTTCGTAACTATCTGTAGATCTGCCTCGTTCGTTTCTTCGGTAGCCGGTGACCAAGAAACGTCTTTTGTCTTGCCTTTGTCTTCATTAGAGCAGCTCTCCAAGTCTTGAACTCTTACCGTCGTAACTATCGAAAGCTGCGCCTCTCGATCTGAGGCTTTTTGTGGCGCCTTCCCAGCTTGATTGGGCATGATTTGCTGGGTTCGATGTATCTTGAAAATATCCTGATTGCATAGAGGACAGATACCCCTCTTCCGAGGTGACGGCAACGTATTGTACGTGATTTTCCTCTGAAAATGCTTTAGATTAAGATCCTTGGCGTGATGTTGATTGAGATGTTGTTTGAGGTCGTGCTTGTCTCTAAACTCGATGTAGTCGTGAGGCCCATCATCGCAGTACCACACATGCGGACAATGTACTATGCGTGCCCAGTCTGTCGTATGAACCGACTCCATGTGTTGGCGCCACTTTGAGTAAGATTCAAAGAATACGGCGGGCTCAGAACAGTCCTCGGATATGCACACATAGGGCTGTAAGTTCTTTTGAAGGTAAGCCCTAAACTAGCGGTCAGATTTGGACAGTTAATGTTAGTGATTCCCAGACCTACCGCCACCAACCCGGAACGGCGAGATCAGAGGCTTTGTTATCAGCAACGCACCAATCGCACATGTAGTGCTCGCCGCTCTTGGTCCTTGGTTGCGGGAGGGGCGGGTAAGGGTAGCACTGTGAGGAGGATGAGGCGGTGGACGTGTCGGAGAAATCAGTGTGAGCAAAGTCCTGGTGTGAAGACTTGTCAAAGTCAAGGCTAAACATGTCCATCTCTGAGCGTGGAGGGATCCTGGTTTGCGGGGCCTCGGGCTCCTGAAGAACTGGAACTTGGATAGGGAACGTTGTGTCTACTCCCCGCTGCGCTGGGGCCACAAGGCGCGACTTGAGGTTCTTTTGTTTGGCGTGTTGCAGCAGTCTAAGCCTTCGAAAAACAATAGACGAAATCAGCTGAGCTGCAAGGCGGCCTCCTATGCCAGGAAAGCGATCCGTAACAAGAACGGATGCCATGTGCTGGAACACCCTAACCTCGACCGGGTCTGCGAGGGACGCAGGCGACACCATGCTGGGTGCGAGGCAAGACGAAGGCAAATTTCGGACGAGAACCGCCAAGCGCTCGAGCCTATCCAGCGCCGCTTGGATTGCGTCCAAAGCAGCTACCACCGCGAGGGATGTCGACGGCCTCGAAGTATCGACCGGGGCGTCTTGTGCAGCAGTCTCGTCAAGCCTTTGACGGCGTGCCTGACCAAGCCCAGGCGAGTGAGGCCTAAGCGCGTTCCCGTCGAGCCAGAAGTCTAAGCCGATGAGCTCGCGCCTAGGATGAAACGAAGAGAAGCGAGACACGAACCATGGTCGAGATTGCGCTCCAACAGCGCGAGCATATTCAAGATGGGCTGCCGTATCTCGGGATGGAATCTGAGCCGACTCTCTAGAGAAGTATCGCCGTCGGCAAAGACGCCCATGTAACCTGCCCAGAGATCGAACCGCTGGACGCAGTCGCGCACGGCGCGAAACTGAGGTCCGATGCCGCCAAGCCCGCTCACATTCGACTGAAGCCACAGCAGAGAGGTCCGGCAGACTCGGGCCGCGTCCCTCACCGGCCAGTCGTCAAGGGCCCGGACGCTGCCTGAGGGCTCCATGTGGGCGGGGGAATAGTTGCCAAGGGCGGTCAAGGTTCAAGACGAAGTCAGAGAGCTCGTGTGTCCCGCATCAAATGGTGTCCCGATCCCGGATAACCATGGCTAGGCAAGGGAGACTTGATGTTGACGAGCGCGATGGATGCTTGGTCATAAGGTCTAGACTCTAGAGTCAAGAGAGGAACGTCGATCTACGTAATATACGGTACTAACTAGTTTAGGTTTATAGAGTCAACGGCTCATCACGTGGAGAGCTACCACCCACGTGATAGGCTCGGGGGGTGCTTCGTCGGTCGGTCGTCAGCCGCGCCTAGGCTGACGATTGTTGACACGGCCGCCCACGTCGTCCGATCCATGTCGACCAGCTGTCTGACCACCGATGCCATGAGCCGCCGGATAGACGCGACGGCGCTTGAGTGGCGGGTCTTGACAGAGGTCCAGCCGCTGTTTGCCGGCCCCGTGCCGTGGGACCCGCCCGCCGCCGGCCTCGCCGCCGCCGCCCACGCCATCGCCGTCGACCACGTCACGACGGTCTTGGCCCACGAGATGAACGAGATGCGCAATAACCTGATGGACCTCGCCGGATTTACGTTAGGGCAGCAGTCATACTCTAAGTGCTGCGGTAAACTGAGGGCGCTGCTCCGGCTGCTCGAGTGCCTCGTCCTGGATCGGGTTCTCGAGGACCCCGATGGTCAACCGAGTCCGGTATGGCCCATCAAGGTGCATAAGCCTCCTTCTTTTATTTAAGCTTCCGGTTCTCATGCATTACTTTAGGTCCGAAACGCCCCTCTAGCAAAGGTGCTCGCACGGTCCGTCTGGGATCCCGTGTGCGCCTGGCTGGGCGTCCGAGGCGCTATGCCACGGCCCAGGGTGAAGCTAGGCAAAGACAAGGCCGCGGCTACGGCCTACGAAACCCTTCAACCAAGCGATTTAACGCAGCTATATCCCAAACTACAAGCCCTAGCAAGAATCATGGCCAAAAGGTGCAAGCAGGACCCGGACTGGTTCACATGCTGCAGCGCCCTGCTCGAGCTCCAGCCGGCTCTAGCCCAGCTTCAAGATATCAAGGCAAAGGCGACTAACGTGAATCGGGTCATCGAAGGCCTCCCACAGCGCACGAGTACGGCAGTCTCGAGGGTGTTACCTGTCCGGGAGATGGCCCGGACCAACTGGCGCAGTCGCAAGGCCGCCGAGCTGACTGACTGTCTGTACAGCCTGCTCGGAGCGGCCATTTGCGCCGACGAGCACAGGGCTGAGCTCCAGTTGAATGGCTTCAGCCTCGATGAGAGCTGCAAGAGCAACGCCTTGGCACAAAACATGCTCGTGTCTTGCTGCTCGATTATTAACGCCTGGCACCAATGTCACTGTGCTACAAGATTCCAGTTGAGCCCCATGGTTGAGGCCAGTCAGCCGTCTTGGCCCTCTTCCCAAGATCCACGGTCTCGGCCGAAAGTCATCCTCAGCGATCTTTGCGGCTCGCTCCGCGAATTCAGGTGTCGGCCGTTCCAGATCCACTTTGACGACATCGACTTGTGGTACAGCAAAGCTCACGCTCAGTCAGCGGCCCGTGCCACCGAGCTGCGCATGGTTTCGCTCAGATTCCTTCTTGACCAAGGCTACTTTGGCAAGGACCGCGACGGCGACGTCTTTAGCCTTAACGACAAGGCGGTACTTGCCCTGTCACTGGCTCGGAGTCTCGTCCACTTGTGGTTTGGCTTGTGGATGCGCGCTCCTTGGACGGCAGACTCGATCCAGTTCTTGTGCGTGACCGACAAGGTGGTGGATAGGCATTACCCGTACATGGGCTGTCCCCTGTTGAGCGGCAACGACAGAGGACAGGAGTATGTCGAGCCGAGACCGAACGACCTCGCGCTCTCGGTCCTCAACCTCGCCCGGCTCCTTACTGAGATCGAGACTGGCGAGGCAATGGACTCGGACCCCTCCTGTCTTTCCCTAGCGACTTTTCAAAACCATGTCTACGATGCCTTGGAGCCGAGGCAAAACGAGTTTGGACGAGCTCATTATAACGCTGCCATTCAAAAGTGCCTGCAGTTTACTATCTTGTTGAAAAGAGAAAACGCGTACGCAAACCAGGACCTCTTAAATCGGGCCCGGAACATTCTCTATGACAACATAATTAAGCCCCTTGAAGACAACTTTGATCAGATCCCGTATCCAGCCGAGGCCATGAAGTCGCGTCCGCTTAAGGTGAAGGAACGTGCGACCTCGAAGGGCACCGTGATCATTAAGCCAGCGTCGAGAAACGGTCAAAACGGCGTACGGCCCCCGAAGCAGCTGCCCCCCGATGTTATGTTTTTTGACGCGGAATCCACCGTTAGAGCTGAGTATGTAGCCTCGTCGCCTCGCAATCGCGCCTTTCGGCATAGGCTTATCGAGTCGCAGACACATTGCCCGAGCGGAGGGCTTCTTCAGCGCATTCGCCAAGTTCCGCCAACGGCACATGGTTCCCAAAACCAGGCTGGGTAGAAACGGGCGGCGGCGCATCCGCATCGCCGTTCTAGACACCGGCATCGACCAAGAAAACGAGGACATTCGTGGCCTGGTGGATGACATTGGCGAAGTTCGCCAGAGGCAGAAATGTCCCGTGGCGGACCGGAATCCAATAAAGAAGGTTAAGACTTTTATCGGAGGCCAGGCGATCGACGAATACGGCCATGGGACGCACGTGGCTGGACTGGTGCTGCAAGCGGCACCAGACGCGGATGTCCTCGTTGCCAAGGTGTCCAACGGCAAGTGCTTCACGAACATGTGGGCCATAGTCAAGGTGGGTCGACTCGCCCGAGACAGCGACGACGGGAAGCCGGTCTCGATTCAGTGGCTCACGCGGCAGCTTGGGACAGGCCATTGACTGGGCGGTTGAAAACGGAGCAGACATCATCAACATGTCATTTGGCTGCGATGTCGACTTTGTCAACGTCGCCAACGCCCTGAACCGCGCATTCCCGACGATCCTCCTCGCCGCCGCGTCCAACAACGGCCGCAACAGCCAACGCACGTTCCCGGCCCGTCATGACGGCGTCATTGGCATCCACGCCCTCGACGGCAAAGGTAACGACGAGGGCGGTATGAACCCGTCGCCGGAAGGGTACGACGAGAACTTTGGGACCCTGGGCCTGGGCATCCAGACGTCGTGGGACGAGCCGCCGTTGTTGCCGGGCACGGCCGGTGCGACAGGTCCCAAGATCTCGCACAAGTCCGGGAGCTCGTACGCGACGCCCATCGCGGCAGGCATCGTCGCTAACTACCTCGACTGGCTGGACTACATGCACGAGGCCACGGATCTCATGACCGAGGCCCAGTATCTCTCCCTAAGGCGGGCCAGGGGGGTGCGGCTCATGCTTAAGAAGCAGTCGAGGAGGGTCGGCGACATACTCTCGGTCGCGCCCTGGACCCTATGGAAGGAGAATCCCCTTGACCCGGTCGTGGACGGAGAAGCACCTCGCAAGGTGGACGAGAGGACCGACAACCACGTCCTCGAGGTACTCTTAGACGGGGTACATGCTGTGAGAGAAGAGTAGCCAGAATTTGATGTGCCATGATAAGGGATGGAGTATGGAGTCCGGACGACGATAGATGCATGGCTTCAAGGCGCAGTGGAATATGGAGGAGTAGAAAGGTGACCAACCCATGTTGCCATGGGCTTTTTCGTATTCGGCCGACAAGCTGGTAGGTAAATAGCTTCCGATGCAGTTATTCATTCATACAAGTTAAGAGAAATGCGGCAAGCGACGTAGCGATTTAAGATGTCAACGCGTCAAAGTTCTCCCGCTGCGCTACGCCCGCTCCCCGCTGGTTGCAAACCACGTCACATCGCCAGCCGCATCCAGGAGCTGGACGATGGCGATGTCGTCGTCCGCGGCACGCTCGACGGCATCAGCCCAGGCGAGCTCGCCCTCGCGCCTGAACCGAGGCACCCGTCCTCCGTCGGCGGCCTCGTCACCGTCGTACATGGTAGCGCCGACAGTGCTCAACCCGCGACGCTCGACGTCGTGGTGCCCAAAAACAATCTTTTCGACGCGGAAGCCGAGGACAAAGTCGGTCTGGGCGTCGAAGGAGACGCCCGAGGCGCGGTCCCGCGCCACGCGTAGAAACGGCTTCACAGCGGTAGCCCAACCCGCCCCGGGCCCGTCGCCGACGCTGACCTCGCCGCCGACGGTGGCCGGGCCGTTGCCGACGACGACTTTGGCGCCGCCCTTGGCGATCTTAACGCCGCTGACCATGTAAACGGGGACGCGCCAGCCGCGACGCCGCAGATACGCCTTGACGGGGTCCTGCGCCATGACGCGGGCGACGTACTCATCCGTTACGACGAACTCGTGCGTTTGTAGCTCCGGGGCAGCGACGACGTCGTGCGCGCCGAGCTCGAGGAAGACGCCAGCGTCGACGCTGACGGGCAGGCCCAGCAGCGCTAGGCACGAGGTCCACAGGCCGAGGCGGCCGCGCACCAGGTCGCTGCGCGTGGCCGAGAAGTCCCGCCACACGGCCACGTCGCACAGGTCGCTGCACTCAATGTCGACGCGGCACTTGCGGTTGACGGGGTCCAGCGTGGCCGCCAGCGGCTTTACCAGCACGTCGCCCAGCCGGAGGGCCTGCGACGAGATGGTGAAGGTCGGGCTGACAATGTATGTCTTGACGATGCCCATTGTTGCATGACCGACCTCGGACTGGATGGGGACGAGGCGTCGCCGATCGCGATGGCGGACTGGTGTCCAGGGAACAAGAAGATGAGGTGGCTGCTTCCGCAAGGGGCTCTACGTGGCCTTGTGATGCAATTCGCATAGTAAATGTTCTCACAGTTCGCCCCGCCATTTGCATGCACCCCGCGCGGCTACGCCCCCGCCCCGGTTCGTCCCGCCCCGGTTCGTCCCGCCCCGCCGCTAGGTTAATGTCACGGGTAGTCCGCGGCGTTAATGTAGGTGTTGGTAAAATGTTATGTCAATACACTGTGAAGCAGGCAAAGGTGGGACGCGCTCTATGCAAGTGGTCGTTATGGCCGTTGGTCTATATGTGAGACGCTCATTCAGTTCTTGCTCCTTAAATACTTCTCTCTTAATTCAACCAAGACGCCTTTGCCGGCTCGTCTTATGCCTTGTCCAGCTAAATGCTATAGTCCGGTTTTATACCGTGCGAATCTCCCATATGGCCGTAACTGTCTAACAGTATTTATTAGCTTCTCGCCGCCGTGGGTAGTGTATAGAATGATAAAGAGGAGCTAAGCGGCTAAGCTCGTCCTCGAATCACACGTTATAGAGCAGCATGCCGTCTAACGAGAAGCATAATAGTACGAGAGTAGCGTAGCAAGTAGAAGACGCAATACCGGCGTAGTGGTAGTTAATGCACTGGCTACCGGCGTGATCGTGACTAGGTTTATGCCAGCGGCTATAAGGAGCAAGGTAGTTTTTTTTTATAAGATATGGGCCGCTTAATAATAATGTATCGCCTAGGTCCCGTTGGATTTAAAGCTAGCTAGCTAAAGTCGTGGAGGGTGATAAGACATAGGAACCCCTAGTCGTTAGTAATTTATTCGTCCCTAATAATGTTTTCTAGGTAAATACGGACCGGCGAAAGTTTAGCCGTTCTAAAGTTAGCGCGCTATTAAATTTACGGAGGATAGAACTTATAATAAGCTTATAATAGCTTATACTAAGCGCCGGACCTAGTCTTATTTAGCTAAAGGCTAACTCTATATTAATCTATAAGTTTCCCTAGAATATAAGGGTATAGTATAGATAGGGATTATAAGTTTTTAGGCTTTTAATTAGTCTTAACTTTTAAAAACTATAACTTAACTAAATAATAAGCTTCAAAAAGATAGGTTTAAACTTCGTAGCTGCCCCTTAGTTTATTTATATATTATATTACCCTATATCGCTAGTATAAGGGGTCTTAATATCCTTATATTTATTTACTAATACGTCCTATACTTATTTATTAAGAGCTTTAAGATAATATAGTTTCTATAGTCTATATCCGCTATAGTAAGGAGAAACTAATAGGTAACTTCCTTAGTAAAAGGTAGTTAGTTATATTATAGGACACCCTATAGTTAACGATCTAGGTACCTATAACGATATCTATTTCTCTTAAGGAAGTTAACCTTAGCTCCTTAAGGCTCCCCGTAGAAGAAGGAACTTAGAAGCTACTAAGTAAACTCTAGGAAATTACCTAGATATCCTAGAAACGATAACCGTACGGATTATATAAATATTTTACGGAGTTTTCCTATATAAATATATTATATAAAGAATATACTACGATTTCCTAAGTAATAATAGCTCCTTAAGGATTATACCGATATTACCTTAAGAAGTTACTATAAGATTATATAAGGGTATTTACCCTTAGTATAGGTCTAGGCGTTAGCTTAGACCTTAGCTAATAGCGTTATAGGGTAAGGTAGGCCGTATATATAAACGTATATTTAGTAGTAGTAAGCGCGGCGTATAGTTAAATCCTATATAGCTAGTTATTATAATATAATAGAAGGCACCTATAGTATAACCCTCTACCTACCTTATAATAGTATAAGCTATCCTTATATTAAACCTAATATTAAAACCTTAGTAGTACTAGCTAAGGTAGTAGTAGTAGTAGTAGCTATTATAGGAAGAAGCCTAATACTAATAGCTATAGTAATAGGCGGAAGAGCTATACTAGTAATACCTATAAGAAGAGACCTAGTAATAATAAGATAAATAAGCCCGATTTATAAAGCTATTTTACTAGATATTATAAGACTTAGACTAGCGAGCAACCCTACGCTAGATCCTTAATACCCTCTTAATACTAGCTTTAATAGATATGCTCCCTACTATTACGGAGTAGGCAGAGGCGTATGCGTAGGTGCCGTCCATAGGATGATATTAATAAGCTATATAGAGCTCTTCTATGCGCGGCTGGCCCGCCCCTATACTTACGGGATCCGGCCCTCCGCACGTAACTATACGGCTTAGGCCGCCTGCCTCATCACCCATAATAGTTAAAGACTCTTATATAATGCCCTCCTCGAGCGCGGCGCAGCGCTGCCCTATTAACGCTCCCGTATAATTAGGCCGTGCCGCGCTCTTCCTACTCTTTTCCGTTAATAGGCCGGCCTACTAGGCCTATTGTCCCCGCGCCCGTTAGCCCGGCAGCCGGGACCCGGCTCTATACTCGTCGGCCGGCTGGCCGTTTAAATAGGCGTAACCTATTATATGCGCCCCTAGGTAGCCGGCGGCTAGTCCGGACCTACGTAAGCCTTAGGTTGCCCGTCCCCTCTACCTTAGGCAGTATCCTCTACTAAGGGGTATATAAGGCGGCATCCCCCCCTTCCCCCTTCCCTTCCTTCTTTCCCTTCTTTAACTATAGTAGTAGCATTAATAGGTAAGTTCCGCTCTACCTAGGGCGTTAGTCCGTTCCTAGCTATACGGGCCGCTCTATTAACGTATGCTCGTAGTAGCAGCGGCAGTAGTAATAATAGCCCTAATAATAATAATAACTCTAACTAGTAAGTTCCGCGCCTTATAGAGCGGGAGGCCGTATTCTATCGTACTAACTTCCGCGATAGATATATCCGCCTCTCCCTCTTCTACCTCCTCCTTCTCGGAGCGTGCGGAGTCGTTCGTCGACGCCGTGCTAGCCGCGGCCGACGACGACTCTGCCGCTGCCGCCGCTCCTGCCCGCGCCGCTGCCACCGCTCCCACCGCCGCCGCCGCCGCCTCTGCTACGCTGTTCGCTCTTACGTCGTCCCTTAGGGTAACGACGCCGTCCCCGCCGCTACCCGTAACGCCTAGCCCCTCGGCCCCCGCCTCCGTCTCCGCTACCCCCGTAAGTCCGTAGTTAGGTAAGCGTAATAGACGTTGTCCGCTAACCTCCTATAGTATAAGCGCTAAGTATAGGCCGGCGCCGCCCGCTCGGCCCCCTATATACGTTATACGTCGTAGGAGCTCGACTGCTCCGACTAGGCCGGGCGCCGCCGCGGCGGTAGCTGCTACTAGTGCGCGCGAGCCGGCCGCGCCTATAAGGCGGCGCCTCCCGTCCTACTCGCTGCGGCGTTAGCTTAGAAGGCCAGCTCGCACGGGCAGGCGCGGGGGGCTGCTAAGAAGCGCCTTACCGCCGCCGCCGCCGCCTACCGTAACCTCCGCGCCCTCGAGCGATAGGGCCTTATGCCTAAGTAAGTCCTACTCCTCCGCTCCCCTATTTCCGCCTCTAACGCACCCGGCGCTAGGGACACTACCTCCGTCGCCCTATCGGCGGTCCCCTTAGCCGCCCGCCTCCGCTACCGCCGCTGCCCTTGCCGCCGCCGCTGGCCGCCGCCCCTCTGCCCCTAGAGCCGCCGCCGCCGCCGACTAGCTTATGGGCTTAGAGGGCCGCCTTAGCGCCCTAGAGACCGCCGCCGCCGCTAATAAGAAAGAGGAGGCCGACGAGGATAACGATAATAAAGATAATAATAATAATAATAACGATAAGGAATAGGCCTAGGTAGTCTAAGGGCTCTACCCCGTAATAAACGCTATTTTTATCTCCGCTTATACTATTACGCTTATATTGCCTATATTACCGTAACTGCCCCCTCCGCTATACCTACTTTATAGTCCTAGCCCGGGCTATTATCGGTAGTCCGCTAGTCCGTCGTTCTTATCTACCGTTCTAAATAAGGCTTTAAACTTATTAAGGGCTATAGTTCCCGTAAACTTATATATAGGTTCCTACGTAGGGTCGAGATACCCGCGCTACTTAACGAGGACCTCCCGGCGTTTCCCCCTATTAACCTTTTTTTAGCGCGCGGCCCGTATCTCTTCGACCTCGAACTCGTCCTCTCCCTCTACCTCGATTATAGGCGGTTAGGCGTCCGCTACTTCTTATCTAGGCAGCGGGTTAGAGGAGGCTCTACGAAGGAGGTCTACGTTAATCTTATTATAGACCCCTATTAGAGACTATCGAGCTCTATAACCCTATGGCTAATAACCTCTATACTATAAACTTCGCGATAGCTAGTTAAGCTTCTTCTTAGCCGTGCCGACCTATAGTTACGGAGGTCTAGCTATACCTTATCTCCTACCGTAAACCTATTTACTAGGGCCCTAGTCTTATTAGCGTGCCGCTCTTAATCTTACGCCGCGGCGGCTATCGCGGATTAGTAATAATCTATAGTCTCCTATAGCTTTCGTACGAACGCGGAGGCGCGGCCCTCTAGTAATAAATTGCTATGCTACTCCGCTACTATATCTACGGTAAAGGGAACTAGTAAGGGTGGTTCGAAGCTATACGTTATAAAGAAAGGGGCTATCCTAATAGAGGTATATAGTCTACTATTTAACGTAAGTTAGGCCGCGGGGAGCTAACGGTCCTAGTTTGCTTAGTTACGGGCTACGACGGCCTATAGGTAAGCCTACGCCTCTTAGTTAACCCTCTCGGGCCCTCTATCGGTCTATAAGTAATATACCGTGCTAAGTAGCTACGTAATCTAAAGCAGCTAGTATAGGTGCTACTAAAAGCGGCTAGTTTAATTCGATCCCCTATTGCTTATAATAGAGGCTAGCTAGCTATACGAGCGGGCCTAGCACTATAGGTCTAAATCTTAGTACGGCCGTAGATATCGTAGTTACGGAGGAAGCGGCGAATATAGTACTATAGGAGGGGCTAGTAGAAATCCCTCGCGAGG